ATTAGATACAATGAACTGATTGGAAAACACGGTCAAACCTCACAGTGTATAGCAAACATCAATGAGTAAGTTATTTGTTTATTTATTTTATTTTTATTATTTATTTTATTATTTATTTTTATTTATTTTATTTATTAATTTTTTTAACCCTCCCTCCTCTCAGTTCTGATATTCCAGTAATGTCACGTCAGCAAGCGTTACATTCCTATCAGTCATTATTCTGTAGAAGGTGTTACAAGTATGACTGCTACAAACATGGTAAGGGACCAATTTATACAGTTAACTACCGTAGGACGCCTTTTTTTTAAAGGGCTGTAAATTTTTTGATTTTGCCTAAAAATTTATTTTGCGGAATTAATTTTTTTGCGAATCTTCAAAAAATCACGAAATTTGTGAAATTTACAGCCCTTGAAAAAAGGCACCCTATAGTATTAACATAATATGTACATGTACATGTACATACAATATATGTCATTATGTATCAGGATTATAGTGCACATGCATAATACATGTACTTGTACTGTAAATTGATGATCATTATTCATTAAATTTGTAACAATACTTACTGTGTGTTAATTATTTAAATTATTATTATGATTAATTATTATTATTAATTATTATGTAGGTTCAGAGCCAGTTCCATTACCTGTTAATCATTTAGTAAGTCACACTATACCTGCACATGTACATGAATGTATAAAAACAGGCTTTGACTTTTTTTACATTTTCTGATACATATTGATGTACTTATGCTGTGTAGAAAGTTTGAACTGATTCCGGCTTAAATTTTTCAAGTTATGAACATTTTTTTAAAACAGCCAATTTTCGAAAAATACCCAAGGCTATAGCCCTTGGTTTTTTCAGAAAAATGGCTCCAAAATCACCCCCAATTTTTATTACATTTTCTGATTCTTATTGATGTACTTATGCTGTGTAGAAAGTTTGAACTGATTCCGGCTTAAATTTTTCAAGTTATGAACATTTTTTTAAAACGGCCAATTTTCGAAAAATACCCAAGGCTATAGCCCATGGTTTTTTTGGAAAAATGGCTCCGAAATCATCCCCAAATTTTATTACATTTTCTGATACATATTGATGTACTTATGCTGTGTAGAAAGTTTGAACTGATTCCGACTTAAATTTTTCAAGTTATGAACATTTTTTAAAAACAGCCAATTTTAGAAAAATACCCAAGACTTAGCCCATGGTTTTTTCGGAAAAATGGCTCGGAAATCACCCCCAATTTTTATCACATTTTCTAATACATATTGATGTACTTATGTTGTGTAGAAAGTTTGAACTGATTCCAACTTAAATTTTCCAAGTTATAAACATTTTTTAAAAACGGCCAATTTTTGAAAAATACCCAAGGCTATAGCCCATGGTTTTTTTGGAAAAATGGCTCCGAAATCATCCCCAATTTTTATTATATTTTCTGATACATATTGATGTACTTATGCTGTGTAGAAAGTTTCAGCTGATTCCGACTTAAATTTTTCAAGTTATGAAAATTTTTTTAAAACGACCAATTTTTGAAAAATTCCCAAGGCTATAGCCCATGGTTTTTTCAGAAAAATGGTTCCAAAATCACCCTTAATTTTTATTACATTTTCTGATACATATTGATGTACTTATGCTGTGTAGAAAGTTTGAACTGATTCCGACTTAAATTTTTCAAGTTATGAACATTTTTTAAGATGGCCAATTTTTGGAAAATACCCAAAAATTTAAGTGAAAATCAACTCAAACTTTCTACACAGCATAAGTACATCAATATGCCCATGATTTTTTTGAAAAAATGGCTCCGAAATCACCCACAATTTTTACTATATTTTCTGATACATATTGATGTACTTATGCTGTGTAGAAAGTTTGAACTGATTCCGTCTTAAATTTTTAAAGTTATGCATGAGCATTTTTTAAAAGCAACAATTTTTTAAAGTATGGACTTTTGCTCATGTTTTTTTTCACATCCAGAAATTACTATTATTTTTATTATATTTTCTGATGCCTAGTATTATCATGGTATCTTTATTCTCCTTTTCTTCATCC